GTAAGTGTTACATACAATATTTTTTTCCACATAGTTTTCTCACTATGTCTCTTTAGCCACGAGATATGTTTAGGATACTTTACGTTAATTGAAATAATAGTGTTGTAATGTGTATTTTCATTGTTTTAATTTAGATGCTTGCCAGAGGGCGCAGGACGTTGAGAACAAGTAAATAAATAAACGTAATCGTAGAATATCTAGAATGTTCGGACTAACAGTCTGGTTACTTTCATATCCCTAACGAATTTCAACTTTTCTGATTTTTCCTGGTTCGTGGGAGCACTGTATAAAGAGTAATTGAGACATATTTATCTTGATTTTCTCTGAACAAGTTGAACTACTAACAAAACATTATTTCTGCATGTTAGAGTCAGCTGAACTAAGAATACAAAAACATTTTAAGTGTTACATACAATATTTTTTTCCACATAGTTTTCTTACTATGTCTCTTTAGCCACGAGTGGGGTGAAGAGAAATTGTGTACTTCTGAACGTCCCTGGTTCTTAAAACACTGCCACGGCAAATATAGATTGTTCGTGAATGCCAGTGATCGAGATACTTTAGCGAAATGTCTAAAAACAAGGCTTAATTATAAATATGAAAACCAGTGAAGTATTGAGTCAGTTTTTCAGTTAGTACAGTGACAGTCAAAGTGAAGTACCTCACATCAGTGTTGTTAGCTATCTCGATCGATTAACACTGAAATTGTACAAGTAGGTTTATTAGCCATAGCACCATTAGCTAGTAAATTTCTGTTGAAGTTGTAAACGTTGTTGGTGAATTCATGCCTGCAACTGTGTAAAAGTGATACTGATAGTATATAGCTTGCAGCAAATATTAAGGGATAAATATACTCACTTGTTAACGTTACGTGGACTTGGCTTGACATTATTTTCACTAAATAATTTAAAAGAACACGCCCAATAACAGAACACATTACAATAACATAATCTACATCATATTGCATAAGTGTTTGACTTGTGAAACCAAATTCTAGCCCAAGGGTAAACTTCTAAACGTTACATCTAACACTAACAGTGTGAAATTAGCTTTCATACAGCCTCTTTCCTAATTTTGATAGTAGCTCATGCGACTTTTACTTGCCGGAAGGTCTGCGGACTTAAAACGATAGAAACCGGGTTTCGATACCCGTGCTAGGTAGAGCACAGATAGCCCATTGTGTAGCTTTGTGCTGAACTTCAAACAAGTGCTTTTACTTAATTATATATCAAACATTTATTCATTTTTAATTTAAAACTTTTAACTAAAATTTGATAATTACTAGAATTGAACTCGTTTGATTAATAGTAATACTTATCACAATGACCATGTCCTAGGCATGAGCCTAACCTGTGTAAAAATAAAGAAAAACAATAAAGGTCCATAAAAATAAAACTTATTTGAGCATACCAACATTTACTAGCCTATTACACTAGCGTAGCGAGAAGTAGGTTGACAATAAATTAAGAACGAGATTGAAATATTACTATTATTAATACTAGCGTTAATGTTACCTTTTTTCGAAGCTTATGTTTCCCTAGTATATCATATTTCGCAATGAAGTTCCAGCCCTTTGAACTCTGAACAAAAATATAAAAATATTCAGAACTTTATATGTCAGACTCAAAAATATTTATTAATATTATTGCCTTTGACACGTGGCGAACCTTTTTTCTCTTACACGTGTCAGAAATTCAAGCTATGTCAAAATAAAATAAATTATTGTCATATTTGCTTAAATGTGCACACTAGTCCATTTACGCAAATTAGGGAAGGTGGCGCGCTTGTCAGCATTGATAACTTTGTTGAATTTTTTATATAAAACAAAATGTACTTCATTCTAGAAACTTCAGAATTTAAAGTTTATTTCATATTTTACAAACTACAAAACCAACAAGATTGTGACTTTACGCTCTTAACGTGAGAAAAACTACATTTAATAACAATAACAACACTTTCATTTCGATATTGAATCTCTACTTAATTTTAATGTAGCTGTACTTTGCAGATCTAGCCTCAGGCAAATATATATATATACAGTGCTTTAAAATGTGCCCAACCTTATATATAAGCCTTCCAAGTTTGATATTTAATCGAATTCGATTGTCAATCATATGAGTGATTCAGTTTTAATGACATTTCACACTCAGTTAAAATAATATGATTATGTGACTTCTTAAACATGAGTACAAAAATTACCTATTCTGATTACAAAGTATAACACCATAGTTAATTTTGAAGATCATTTATACAGCAGTTTATTTTTTAATATTTTTTAAAAATAAAATGTGAATACTAGCGGCTTCTGTAAAATACACACTGTAGTTATTCGCTTACACCGATGAAGCGAGTATATTTTCATGATTAGCGTGATCCGTGCTGTGAGTCTACGTGTTCATGGTTCGCGTCCCGTTAACACAAAAGCTTTTGGGACGTGGAATGCGCTATAAGAGTTACGGATAAATTCAATTATTCGATCAGGCAAAATTACCCCAAACGGTAGACACTGTTGAGTAGGTGCTTTCCATCTAGTCAGTTAGTTCAAAATTAGAAAAGGCTATGCCCAAGTAGTCCATTATGTAGCTTTGCGCAAACGTTTTAAAGCGAGAAAAAAAAAGGTATAAAACAGTGCACTTTGGCTATGAGTTTATTAATTTTTAAAGTTCCCACTTAAATACATGTCAAATAAAAAAGCTCGAAGCTACAAAATGGATTATCTGTGTTCTACCCACCGCGGGTATCGAAACCTAAAAATGTTTTTGCGTTGTAAGCTCCCAAACTCACTGCTAAACAACCGGGGGGGGGGCATCCATGAAGTGATAGCATTTTTATAACATTCTAGTTGACTCACTTGATATGCTTAAAATATCACTGAAGCACTTATTAAATGTAAATGAGATTAATTGGCTATAGCCTATTGGAAATGAAGATTGGACAAATGGCCCAACCCTTTTTATATGATAAATGATTCAATTAATCTACAAAATGTCCAACTTGTGTTACAGTATTGAAAAGGAACAACAGATCGGTGTGTATAGCAGAGAATATACATTTTCGATAATTACGACAAATGTTCAATGAGTATCAGTTGGAGTTTACATGCCTGCCACTGCCCTTATTTTTACCAATAAATACACTACGTGTTAAAGACGAGTAAATCTCCACGAGGGGGCTCTCATAACACCAAAACCGAATTGTGTTTCTTCTCCCCTGGCTAGCTTGGAAAATATTACTCTTTAAGTTGGTACCACTGACGTATTTATTGTATCAATAGCCAACATGTGTAAGAATAATAATAAGACGAGAAATATTTAGAAATATGTGATATGTCAAGGGCATATAACAGATTATTCATCAGGAAAAGGAACCTTAATAACAACCACAACTTGTCCATCAAAATTCATTAAACCGCCAGAACAAATAGTCCCAAATGTAGCATGTATAATCTCTCGACTAGAATTTCACTAAACTCACCCCACCATGAGGACGCTGCAGTCGCATCTGTAAGGTTCATTCAAATTACTGTTATTAGTGTTCACATAGGATCACAAGCAGTGTGTACGAGACATCGAATATGTATGGCGCTGTGTAGTGTGTCACCGTATAATGTCCACAACAAAGTGTAGTGACGTATAATGTGTCACCATACATTACTCACGGAAGTGTTGTAGATGTAGTGCCTCGCTGAACAGTGTTAATAGCAATACTGCAGCAAGGTGTAACGTGTCATATTACACACAGTAGTGTGTAGTCACAATAAGTACTCACGTGTTGCAGTGTGTCACTGCACATTATTCGCAGCAATGTTGCAGAATGTATGGTGTATCACCAAACATTTCTTGTTGTAATGTTCTCGTGACGTGTGGTATATCACCGAAAAGTACATATAACTTTTTATAGCGTTAACGGAATTCCATAGTGATTCGTCTTTTGGGAGATTAATGAAGTTTGTATTAACCCACCCCTCTCTCCACAACTGTTTTTAGTCTCACAAAGGACGAGCAGTCTCTTGAGCAAACACTTTATATTTCTGTTCGACTTGTATAATGGCAGCATATCGTTGTATACGATATATAACCGCACTTCCTTCTCTCTCGTTTTATTTCACAAACTTGAGCAGCTAGAAAATCCTTCAAAACTTTCTTAATAGCCAAAATTATAGGCTTAGTCTTTTTTATCACGCTCAGTTTATACGGCCCCCACTGGCACAGCGGCATGTCTGTGGACTTACAATGCTAGAAACTAGGTTTCGATACCCGTGGTGAGCAGAGCACAAATAGCCCATTGTGGAGCTTTGTGCTTAACTTAAAACAAACATAAACGCAATTTATGTTATTTGTTTTTGTAATTACTTGGATAATTATTCAAATTTTCGAGCAGCAAGAATGTAGACTTAAGGTAACCCTAATAAAGAGAGAGAAGGACATGGTCATGGAATAACAAAGATGCAATCCTGCATAAGAAAAAATGGCGACCTCAAACATATTTTCGTCGAACGCAGGGCTTGTTGTTTTTTTGTGTTTTTTTTGGCAAATGTCTTTTAAATGTAATATCTGGTTGTAAATTATGCACAATGACAATAAAAAAAATTCCATTACTGCAAAAAAATAAATAAAAAATTATGCGAGGATTTATAAGAAATATTATGCTCAGATTCAAAATATACAATTGTTTGTTAGTATTATTGCTTTGTTCCTAAAAACAATATATTCGTTAAATGCTACTGACTCGCATTATCACTTGCCTTTTATTTATTGGTTAGTGCTCACTAAATATTCACAGTGGATGATAAACCTTATAGATTACGTAAGAAATTTCTTTGTCAAAATTCGCGTATTATTATAGTATTGTTTGAAATCACTAACCCATCTGGCAACTATAATTCAGTTTAGCACCGAAGCTCCAGAGTCTGGCACACAGCGCACGTTAGAAGCTCCCAGAGTTCTATGCGAGACATCCCTGTGCGCATGTGCAACTCGTAATTCCGCTGCTGACTCCCTTGTTCGGCCGTATTTGCTCCGTTGCTCCACTTAGCCCACATATAACGAAGTCGTGTTTGTGCGTGTGTTACTGAGTTAAAGTAGACTTTGTGAGCAGCTGACACTCTTCGATACAGTGTTTTCAAACGAGTATATAAGAATTGATAATAATATGAGTGGATTTAAATATAAAGATCTGATTCTGAACGCTATTGATCAACTGCACGAAAGAAAAGCGCGGCCTGATTCCGAACGAATTTGCCATATACTGGAAAAGAAAAATGGTGTAAATTCTCAAACGATTAAGACAGAATTACAGAAACTCGTGGATGCTCGAATTGTTGTTAAAGTGGAATATAAAGGTAATGTTAGTTATCGGAACGCGGCAAAATGGGCCCGTAACAACAGAATCTTTATGAACGGTCACATGCTATACTGGGACGGTGTGAGAAAGGCAGTGACTGAGGCATTCAATGAAATTATTGCTTGTCGGGAGAATTTTACTAATCTCGGTGTGTCTAGGGAAGAAATAGAAAGTTATCTAAGCAACAAAAAAACCTGTATGTTTAATAAACTTTCGAGTAAAGGACTTGATATTTTTTTAAAGAGTGAGGTAGATACTGGAAGAATAAAAAAATTAGCATCAGGGAATTTTTTGTTGAACCAGATACAGGAAAATGGTGAAATTAAATCAAGATTTAGGCTTGCCAAAAGTGGTACAGAATCTTTAAACGTCCCTTTGCAAGAAAAGAGAAAAAATAACCCGAAAAAGCGAAAGATAGGGGCCCTGAACGCAGCTCACATCAAACAAACAGTTTCTTTAAGTAGAAGAGGTCGTCGAAAGGTTTGTAAAACTAAAATGATGATATTTTTAAAATCCCACATTAAAATATCCAGTGTAGTCCTGGATAATAATCAAAGTAACAATTACATTAACAAATATTAGTTATCAATGCCGTTTTCAATTAGTTATTTATTTCTATGTAAATAAAGTAAAAAAAACAACAAAAAACTTTCCACTATTTTGTAACTATATATTTTTATGTACATATATTAAACACACAAACCTTATTAAAAGTAAATTACAAAGCCCCGTGTTCGTGTTAAACGAGCTATATTTTTTCACCATTCATTGTTTTGAAGGAGGAAAAAAGTGTAATGTTTGTGATCTGGAATACACATACATACGAGTTCAAAATTGTTATTGATAAAACTCAATTAATCCATTAAAAGTGAACGAAAATAGCCTACACCACTGTATCCTATCTCTCATTGCAAACAGTGTCAGAAGGGAATAGCTAGCTTTTCATACTGCGTAAACTCAAAATTTAAAAGCAGTAACATCAATATTACTTGAAAGGCACTTGAATTACTAAATATTTTGTAAATAAACTTCTCTTTCTGGAATTTTCAACGTCTAGTATTCCTTTGCAAAATATTATTTCCAATCAAGTCGACATCTTAGAGATGCCAGAAGGATTCAACTTAAGATTACACTCATATATCGTGTATATCATCAAGGTTTTCTTCTAGTTCCTCGTGCAACACTAAAATATCGCCCCTCCCCCCAGTGGCACAGCGGCATGTCTGCGGACTTACAACGCTAGAATCCGGGTTTCGATACCCGTGGTGGGCAGAGCACAGATAGCCCATTGTGTAGCATTGTGCTTAATTACAAACAAACAAACAAATTAGAATATCGGGAAAAACTGGACCCAACAATTCAGAAATGAAAGCTACACAGTAGTCTATGAACACCAAGTACTATTATCTGGAAATTAAAATTAATTGAATGCTGTTAAATACTGTCACCATGGCAATTGCAGTTCACTCTGGAATTCTAATACACCGACATTAAAGTGGAGAATTAATTCAAGTAAAATTATATTTGATTCCTTTGCGATTGCGCACATTCTTACGTTTTATGAGCAAAGTTTTGGTAATTTTTTTTTTCAAATCTTAAACAATTATGTCGTATATTTTGATGAAGTAAGCGTAACATCTTTTATTTCTTGGAGACATATTTTATGAACTGTTGAAATATAAATATTTGTTGGTTTTTACGTATTTTTAACCTAGATATTTTGTTGTTTTTTCCATTTCGTTTAATGTTTTTGATATAATACATATTCTCATAGCTTTACCTATTATATTTCAAAACTTAAATCATGCTTCTATATATTTACAGTGTATAGTCATCAGTCAGAATTAAGGAATAATGGCAAAGATTTCAAGTCCACATTATTTTTTATCATGATTAAACAAGACATTTCGTTTTTACAAACTCCTACGCTGGAGCTTTATAAACTAACTTTCAAGTTGGATTATGGAACTTGATGGCACACGGGACGTTATTTAAACGCAAATATCAGCCCAATAGAAGACATTGAAATTGGCTTTCTTTTAAAATTGAAAAATAAAAACGAAATGACACTGAACATTTTCTAGCAATATACTTATATACTTTTTATCGATGTTGGATGCTATTACCCAGTTCAAAATAACGTAGAAAATAATTTTAAGACGTTCGGGCAAAACCTCAAACATGAGAAGAATGTCGAACGTGTAATAACTTTAACGAAACCGTTACATTCTCTTTGATTTAGTGTTGGATAAAGAAGATTACTGAAGCTTTCAGCCTTTTGAGCTGCCAATAAATTGTGAATACTGCGTTTAGCGCTGTTTTGATCAGCAACGCACGATTGTGAATTAAAAATCAGTTATGTCAGTAGATATAAGAATATTAGACTTTTTGTGTTTTTTAAATCGTTTCTCGTTGCTGTTGTTTATCACCGTCAAATCGTTCAAAAATATATTACTGATTACTATTTTTCATAATAAATTAAACAGTTTGCAAAAATGGTTTGTCTTTATGTTCAGGGTCAAATTAAAAAATGAAAAACCTTTAACGTATCTGTTCTACGCTTTTTGGGTAGCTCCAGCGTAACAGTGTAGCAGTGTGGGTCTTGAACTGTTTCTACAGTTATCTGTTGTTATTCTAGAGTCGTATTTTTTTATGTATAATGGTTGAATTTGCTTTGAGTGTCACCAAATTTTGATTTTTTCTAAGTTTTTTGTTTGTTTTTCAATTTCGTACAAAACTATTCGACGGATATCTGTACTAGCCTTCCCTAATTTTGGAGTGATAGACTAGAGGGAAGGCAAGTACTCAACACCACCGAACGCCAATGTTTTCTACGTGAAAGGGTAACATAAAAAAACAAAGAAAAAACCGTTGTTTCCCCTAGCTACTTTTCTTACCACTGGTTGCCCCCAGTGGTACAGCTGTATGTCTGCGGACTTACAACGCTAGAATCCAGGTTTCGATACCTGTGGTGGGAAGAGCACAGATAACCCATTGTGTAGCTTTGTGCTTAATTACAAACAAACAAACAAACTTAACACTGAGCAAAATACTTAAATGTCCTATACAAACGACCTCAGGCTATCCATCAATTGCAAGAATATGGAAAATGTTATTAAGTGTAAGTGTATTTGATATGGTGCCTCAAAAATTTCCGCCACTCGTTTATGTTATTCTGATGGTTTATTCTACAAAATATGGGGTTTCGATACCCGCGGTGGACAAGGCACAGATAGCCCATTGTGTAGCTTTGCGCTTAACAACAACAATTTATGTTATCTGCGCAATGCTCGTAATGAAGGTTATAAACGTGAGGGTGATTTTTAGGCTGATCTATGTATGTAGATTGGTTTTATAAGAAGTTAATATACATAAACATCAGTGGGAACGTTAATTAGTTCTGGTTAAAAATAAAAAAAGTAAATAAGACAAGAAACTCGTGAATCAAATAATAAGTAGTACGAGTTTTGTTCGTTAGTTCGAAGAGATTAATAATGTTAAAAAGTCTCTTATGGGCTGTTCTGATATCAGTTCAACCATCAGTTTCTGTTGCTGAAAAGGACAAACTGATACATTGTTTATAAAGTTTTTTACTATAGCAGGGAAGATAACCGAAAGAAACTATAAAACTTAAACTATGATATGGCTTCAACTTGAGAATTTATTCGTGTGTCTCAAATCATAATCCTATTTACTAGAAACGGAAGTAAATATATTTGTAAACCTGTTTGGAGATAAGTCACTTGTCTGCGATTGGCCCCTTGAAATGTAGAAAATTGGAAATTAAGAATATATCTTTACTTTCTGAACACGCTGGACAAGCAATGAAAGAAATCCGTTGTGACGAAGATAAAAAGTTCTCAAAAGTAAATAAGAAAACGGTATTTATGTTTATATCTTTTTGACGATTTATTGTGTATGATAACTGCATTCAAAGATTATATTTTTTCTTTGTGATGGCAATAATGTTTACTAACGGTAGATAATAAACATGACTATAGCAACTAGTAACTGAATGTGCTGCTTTTTACTTACCATCAGTCGGATAGCGCCAACCCGTTAATAGTGTAATCTTCATCATTTTTACAAGTTAGCAGGGTTTGCACGGATGTGGGGTAAAAAATTAGTAAACATTGTATTATAACATATGTTCATTTAATCTAATTAAAATAAACTAATATTTTTGTTTAATATAAGAAATGGCTGTCTTTAGAAATATTTTTAAAACAGCAAATTGTAGAGAAACGTTTTAAATTAAATAGATCTTAAAATTAAACTGCAGAACTTAGGACTGGACTAATTATGAAATAATATTTTAAAACCCTATATTTAGAAATATAATTTAAAAAGTTTCTTTGACATGTGGCAAAATTCTTAGTATTAGAGGAAAATGATAGAGAGATCCAAAAATTGAATATGTCACTTATATTAGTCTTCGTTAATTTGCATCGCTTATATTGAAGTTATGAGAATAATAATTAAAAGTTTAAGTAATTGTTGTTACTATTTGCATACGATCTTCGTTATTAGGCTAGCAGTGCCGGCTATGACGTTTACGCTAAAGCTTGTGAAACGCGATGTTTTTAGGTGGTAAATGTGATGATATTTTTCTAGAACAGCTTCAGAGCCAAATGCTATACAGTTATAATGAACCACTGATCTGTTTTGCTTCAAAATTTCGTGCATAGCTCCCTAACTTTGATCTGATAGACTACAGGGAAGGCAAGCTAGTCAATAGCACCTATAGCAACAACATGTTATATATCAAGAACCTTCAAATTCTCAGGCCTGACACACGAATCCCAGGCCACACGCGGTTCAGTGTCTTTGATAAAAATACTCACTGTTTATTCCGTAAATTTGATCACCAAGAGACAATTGTCTTTGATGAGAATACCCACTGGTTTAGCTTATAAGTTGGATCGTCAGGAGATAACAGCCACTTATAAAAATACGGTTTAGTCTGTACATTGGATCACTTGGAATCAACTATCATTAATAAAAATACTCCGAGGTTTGTTTATCAGTACTCTAGATCACCTGGAAGCAGATTTATGTACAGCTTGTTATTGCTTATTCTGCTTGTTCACACTTTGTATTTTATTCTATAGTTTTCTTCTGCAGAAGTTCATAACCTGATCATCCTTTGATTTGTTTATGGTGATTCTAATTCTTTACTTTTTTCTTAAGTTTTCAGTTATTGTTATCATGTTAAAATTTGTATTAATGTTCTATATTTTCATCAATATTACAGAAGTTTAAGAAAAACCCAGGTCCAGATTTCTTGCCTTGGTCTGAATTTGAAAAAACAGATGACTTGTGTGACTTCTGCCAACAAACATCTTCTTCCAATCGTCTTGGAAATCCAGAAGAACTGCTTATTTGTAAAGACTGCTCCGCCAAAGGTGAAATTAAATATGAGATGACCATTCTCTTAGGAAAACAGAGCAGACAGTGCTAGAAAAATTTACCCTTACTTTGACTACTCTCATAATTGATCTCTTAACTTTTTACATTTACAGTCAAGCCATAATTTTTCATTAACAATAAGATTGATTCTGTCTAATTTCTGATGTTTTTATACAGCACATCCAAGCTGTATGCAGTATGGGGAAAAATTAACTGCAAAGTGTAGAGAATATCCTTGGCAGTGTATAGACTGTAAGAGATGCGTGTTTTGTGATCAGTCTGATGATGATGGGGTAAGTTATTTTATCCTGTTGATAAAATAAATCTTAGAGGTACATTGCTCTCTGGTGTTTTTGAATACATCAGCTGACAAAAAAAGTCTTCTTATTCTGTCATTGAAGGACTAATCACTTGCATTTTCCTGATATGGGAAGGTTTCGTGTTATGGAGAAAATTATATTTAGCTTTGTTGGTAGGAAGCTGTATACATAGTTCCCTGTATTTAAGATGTAAATGCTTGTTTTAAAAGTTTACTGTGCCATAACCTAAGTATTACTTTGTTGTCTAAAGTGAGTTTCACTGATACTAAATTATGTAAACCTAATAAACAGGAAGTAGATGAATACATTGGTAGTAAACTCTGCCTGTTGTATGCGTTATAGAGTTACCTAAACCTAATAAACAGGATGTAAATTAATAGATTGTTAGCAACACATGTCTGTTGAATGTGTTAATAAACTACTTAAACCTAATAAACAGGAAGTAGATGAATAGTTTGGTAGCAAACTGTGTCTGTTGTATGTGTTAAGTTACTTAAACCTAATAAATAGGATGTAAATTAACAGATTGTTAGCAACACATGTTTGTTGAATGTGTTAATAAACTACCTAAACCTAATAAACAGGAAGTAGATGAATAGTTTGGTAGCAACACATGTCTGTTGAATGTGTTAATAAACTACCTAAACCTAATAAACAGGAAGTAGATGAATAGTTTGGTAGCAACACATGTCTGTTGAATGTGTCATTAAACTACCTAAACCTAATAAACAGGAAGTAGATGAATAGATTGGTAGTAAACTGTGTCTGTTGTATGTGTTATAGAGTTACCTAAACCTAATAAACAGGAAGTAGATGAATATATCATTAGCAAGCTGTATTTGTTGTATGTGTTATTAGATTATATAAATCCAATAAACAGGAAGTAAATGATAACCCTTTTTTCATGTTAAAAATAAAAGTTAATTTTATTGTACTGATAATATTTTATCACATGTAATTTTAGGAATCGTTGTAAAATATTTTAGTATAGGAGTATTTTGTTTTTTGGCTTAAGATGTGTTTGGTATTATGATATTTTATAGGGTGTTTAATCTGTCGACCTTCACTAATTCAACAAAAATAGAGTACACATCAGATGACCTCTGCTTATAGTAACCTTGAATGTAAATAAACTAATTATTTAAAACATTATGGAAAACTTCCATTATAATTTTGTTCTAAATGATTGAAGAAAGAAATGTTTTATATCACATCAAATGTTATAATTTTTTACTTGTTTTAAGTTCTAATACTTGTTAGAACCAATGCATTAACAAAGGTGAAAGCAGCATTTTAGGGATTTGTCATATAATTCATTCAGGTTCTATGAAAAAGATAAAGAATCTGATGTAATTAAGTTTGCTTTTTAGCAATTACTTTGATTAGATTATGAGATCATAAACAGATAATGGTGAATATATGGCAATTGAGTATTTAGCTATTTTTCTGTGTAATTTGGTCTTCAGAGTTACTGTAATTAACAGTTGAAATATTATGTTAAAATCCATGTTCTGTGTGGAGATGAACTTGACCTTTCATTTACATGTAGTGTACAAAGATATACCTTGTTACACATGTGGCATTCTCTGCATAATGTTGTTAATGTAGGCTTGCCAGTATCAATTACATAATGTACCATTGCCCAATCAAAAGTTCTAAGAATTTGGTGCTAATAATTAGATTTCATTATGGAATTTGTAATGTAATCAGGGGTGAATTTTTTCTGGTACTTACCAGAACTTAGCACATGTTCTTTTTCGGAGTTCCAAGTGGAGTAACACTATTTTATTTGGAAGCTAGTATCAAGTTCTGTTATTTTTGTTGTACTTCTTTGTAGTTTAATTTAAATATTGCATGGAGAGGTATCATTAACTTGCAGAAAAATTGTTACTCCATGTGCTGTGAGGTCAGGTCCTGGCAGAAGTGTGTCCATACTTCTTTAAGGAGAGGTCAGATCGTGGCAGAAGTGTGTCCATACTTCTTTAAGGAAAGGTCAGATCCTGGCAGAAGTGCATCCATACTTCTTTAAGGAGAGGTCAGATCCTGGCAGAAGTGTGTCCATACTTCTTTAAGGAGAGGTCAGGTACTGACAGAAGTGTGTCCATACTTCTTTAAGGAGAGGTCAGGTCCTGGCAGAAGTGTGTCCATACTTCTTTAAGGAGAGGTCAGGTACTGACAGAAGTGTGCCTATACTTCTTTAAAAAGAGGTCAGATCCTGGTAGAAGTGTGTCCATACGTCTTTAAGGAGAGGTCGGGTCCTGACAGAAGTGTGTCCATACTTTAAGGAGAGGTCAGGTCCTGGCAGAAGTGTGTCTATACTTCTTTAAGGAGAGGTCGGGTCCTGACAGAAGTGTGTCCATACTTTAAGGAGAGGTCAGGTCCTGGCAGAAGTGTGTCTATACTTCTTTAAGGAGAGGTCAGATCCTGGCAGAAGTGTGTCCATACTTCTTTAAGGAGAGGTCAGATCCTGGCAGAAGTGTGTCCATACTTCTTTAAGGAGAGGGCAGGTCCTGGCAGTAGTAAGTACCCATACCTCTTTAAGGAGAGGTCAGGTCCTGGTAGGGGTGAGTACCCATCCTTTTTTAAAGAGACTTTCACCAAAGGTACTCCATATACTATAAGTTCAAGTCTGGCAGAAGTGAATGCCCATACTTCTTCAAGGAGAAGTCAGGTCCTGGTAGTAGTGAGTACCCATATTTCTTAAAGGAAAGGTCAGGTCCTGGCAGAGGTGAGTTTTGCAGAGGTCATAGTTCATATCAACATTATATAAACTCTGTGGAGGTCAAAGTTATTGTCAGATTAATGAAATCATTTTTGCAGAGGTCACAACACATACTATTATAAAATGAAAAGCATATTATGGATGCTGTAACTTAAAACTATAATGTCAGCAGTTTTTAACACTTTACACATTTATTGTCTTATACAGTGCTCGATCAATAGTTTAAAACATATATCCCATCCAAAATCTTTAGAATGGTGCTCATGCTTAAGTATTGACTGTACTCATTGTTAAAAATAAACATGGCCAATTACTCCAGAAAACAGCTATTTTTATTTAAATCAACATTTTACCATTACGGCTTCATTGGGACAAACAAAACGCTTGATACCAAAGAAAAAGTTAGCATCTTGTTTGCCCCGATGCAAAATGTAGACTTAAATAAAAAAAGTTGTTTTCTGGATTAATATGTCATGTTTTAACAATAAATATAACTCTCCAGTTTGCACTACAAACTTTAAACTGTCATATTAAACTTTATGTTAGGAGGGGGACGATTGAACATTTGAACTACAGTGTTCACCCGTGGATGTTCGACAACTTGTGCATTTCCTGAAATAGCCAATTTAATTTCTGGATTGCACTGTTATATGCTATTAAATCAAATGTACCTTTTCTCGCTCACCAGGACTCCATGCTGTTTTGTGATGGCTGTGATAAAGGGTACCACATGGTTTGTCATGTTCCTGCACTTACTGAGAAGCCAGGGGGTAAGAACTTTACAAGTGTATTGTTTGTGTCACAGTGTTTGTATTGTATACATCACAATATTTCTTATTATATAAAAAAATAGATTTAAGCTATTTTAACTCTACAGATAGAGAGGTGAATTATACAATAAATAGTTTAAGAGAACAGAATTAAATAAGGTTAAGAGAAGATAAAAGAGACCACATGCTCTGTGTAAATACAATCACATAGTGCTTTTTTCTTCTATCATTGAGAATGCATTGTAAGACAGTTTTTACTTAAACAGCACAAGAGAAAATTGTGTTGAAAGAAACTGAAATAGAATTACATAAAAAATATACACTCTCATGGTTTAAAAATTGATTTTTTTTCTTGCGTGTATTTGTTAACAAGATGTAAATATAAGTATTTGAAGATAAAATTACTTTTCTAAACTAAATACATTACAATAAGGATCAGGGTTTCTCTAACTTGCCAGCAAGGATAGTGATCCCAGTGTAATAGCTTGTCCAAAACTAAATACATTACAATAAGGATCAGGATTTCTCTAACTTGCGAGCAAGGATAGTGATCCCAGTGTAATAGCTTGTCCAAAAATATATACATTACAATAAAGATCAGGATTTCTCTAACAAACCAGCAAGGACAGTGATCCCAGTGTAATAGCTTGTCCAAAACTAAATACATTACAATAAAGATCAGGGTTTCTCTAACAAACCAGCAAGGATAGTGATCCCAGTGTAGTATAGCTTGGCTAAAGGAAATACATTACAATTACAATAAATATAAGGATTTCTGTAACACACCAGCAAAGGTAGTGATCCCAGTGTAATAGCTTATCTAAAACTACTTACATAGGATAGATGTTTCTTTAATATACAGTTGAAACATATAGGTTACATGTTTATTTTAACAGACAGTTCAAGTGTATATGGTATATGTTTCTTTATTAGAGAGTTGAAAGATATAGGGTAGGTGTTTCTTTAATATAGACAGTTTAAACAAAAAGGGTGTATGTTTCTTTATAAGAGAGTTGAAACACAAACGGTAGATGTAGAGAGTTGAAAGATATAGGGTAGATGTTTCTTTAATACAGAGAGTTGAAAGATATAGGGTAGGTGTTTCTTTAATATAGACAGTTAATTTAAACAAAAAGGGTAGATGTTTCTTTAATACAGAGAGTTGAAACACAAACGGTAGATGTAGAGAGTTGAAAGATATAGGGTAGATGTTTCTTTAATACAGAGAGTTGAAAGATATAGGGTAGATGTTTCTTTAATACAGAGAGTTGAAAGATATAGGGTAGATGTTTCTTCAATATACAGTTGAAAGATATAGGGTAGATATTTCTTTAATACAGAGAGTTGAAAGATATAGGGTAGATGTTTCTTTAATACAGAGAGTTGAAAGATATAGGGTAGATGTTTCTTCAATATACAGTTGAAAGATATAGGGTAGATGTTTCTTCAATATACAGTTGAAAGATATAGGGTAGATGTTTCTTTAATAGAGAATTGAAACATATAAGGTAAAAGTTTCATTAATAGAGAGTTGAAAGATATAGGGTAAAGATTTCTTTTAACAGACAGTTTGAACATATATGGTATATGTTTCTTTATAAGAGAGTTGAAACACATATGGTAGATGTAGATAGTTGAAAGATATAGGGTAGATGTTTGTTTAATAGATAGTTTGAGCATACAAGTTGGATGTTTCTCTAATAGAGAGTTGAAAGATATAGGTTAGAAGTATCTTTAATGTAGAGTTGAAAAATATATGGTAGATGTTTATTCATTAGAGACTTGAAACATATGGGGGTAGATTTGTCTTCAGTAGATAGTTAAAATTTATAGGATATATTTTTGTTTAGTAGATAGTTGAATCATATAAGATAGATGTTTCTTTAATATAGAGTTGAAAAAGATAGGGCAGATGTTTCTTTAATATAGATAGTATAAACAAAAAGGATGTATGTTTCTTTATATGTTTATTTGATAGACAGTTTAAAGATATAGGGTAGACTTTTCATAATAGAGAGTTGAAACAGATAGGGTAGCTTATTCTTTAATATGGTGTTGAAACATATATAGTAGATGTTTCTTCAATAGAGAGTTGAAGCATATATGCTGGATGTTTCCTTAATAGAGATTTCAAAGATATATGGTGGATGTTTCTTTAATAGAAAGTTGAAAACATAGAGTATATGTTTCTTTAGTAGATAGTTTAAACACATAGGGTATATGTTTCTTTAGAAGATAGTTTAAACACATAGAGTAGATAATGCTTGGAGATGGCTTGAATGGGTAATGAACAAAAACTTTAATATAAGTTTAACATAACAGCAAATGTACAACGTTTCAATAAGGTTCTGTCATCATCAGGCACTTGTACTTGTCCCTGATGATGACAGAACCTTA